GCCCCGCAGGCACTCATTAGCATAATAGGCCACACCCAACAGCAGACACTCATTAGGATTGGCTACATTAGGGGTGTGTGGCCTAACATGCAAAGGAGTTCCTGCTACAAAAAAAGGCCCTGGGTTTGGACAACAAACAAGGTAAAGAGAATAAGAAGCAAAAGGCGGGTGTGGCTGGATAACCATACTACTGGTAACATGGGGGTGCGGCCTAATGTGCTAATGAGCGGTGCTGTCAGGGATGTGGCCCAATATGCTAATGAGTTCCTGCTGTTGGGTGTGGCCTATTATGCTAGTGAGTTCCTGCTGGGCTTTTTCTACAAAAAGAGCCCTGCCAGTAGCTCACAAAGTAGAATTGTTGCTTACAAGACTCCGCAGCTTAGAGGGAGCCTTGGTCCTGACCATGTCCACACCGCTTTGCTTACCTCAGTCCCAGCAGCCACCATTTCCTCCCTCCACAAGATGCCTTTCCCCAAATCGGCAGTATCTATAGTGTAATGTATTGAATGTATTACATGAATCGCCTAATTCACCTCCCATGTTAAGCTTGAGCCGAACGGAGGCTCCTCAGGACTGACTTACAAAGGCTCCCACTGGAATAAATGGTGCTAGCCTATAAGGTGCTACTGGACTTCTGTTTTATTTTGCTAGAAACTGGAAACCAGCTTCATGCCTGCTAACTGTCATGGCCTCCAACCAAGGGACATTGGGAACTATAGATCTACAAAGGAGCTATAAGAACATAAGATGAGCCCTGCTGGATCAGACCAATATTCCATCTAGTCCAGCATCGTGCCTCACACAGCAGGCAACCAGTTCCTCTGTAGGTCCAACAACAGGGCATAGAGGCCGAGGTCTTCCCCTGATGTTGCCTCCTGGCTCTGGGATTCAAAGACTGACTGCCTCCGAATGCGGAAAGAGCAAGAGTCCAGTAGCACCTTAAAGACGAACAAGATTTGTGGAAGGGGAGGAGCTTTCGTGAGTCACTGCTCACTCCTTCAGATACCACTTCTTCAGGTATCTGAAGAAATGAACAGTGACTCACAAAAGCTCATACCCTACCACAAATGTTGTTAGTCTTTAAGGCGCTACTGTGGGATCTCCTTCAATCCCGCAGGGCCTGTAAGATGGAGCTGTTCCACCAGGCCTTCGGCTGAGGTGACAGGCGTCCACGTATGGCCTCCCTGAGGTTTCGGTCTCCCATATAACAATAGCTGGCTTTATCTATCTGCACCAATGGGCCAGGGAACCTTCGCAACCACCCAATTTCTGTCCTTGGGCTGTGACCACCAATTTTAATGTTATTACTGTGTTTTAAAATTTTAATCGTATCTATTGTATCACTATTATGTTGTTACCCCCCCCGAGCCCGCTGTGGGAAGGGCGGGCTATAAATATGAAAAATAAATAAAATTATAACACTCTGTTGAAGCAAACTGCTAGTTCCCAGCTTTCATTAAAAAAAAACACAACCCTCTAACCCTTTTGGTTGGACCTATAAGGGGAGACATGCAGCCAGTACCTTTCCCCTTATAACTCCCCAGCCAAAAGGGCTAAAGATGTATTTTTTAAAAGAAAACCTCGAATTAGTACAATGGTTGCAATAGACTGTCATAATGGTTATCATGCTATAACATTATAGCGGCTACTGATTCTCTCTCTCTTTTTAAGCCTGAAAAAGCTTTCAAGTGGCAGAGGTGAAATGAAAGCTATGGGCCCTGAGGCTAGGACACCTGGGTTACAGACGCATGTCCTCATGGGGGGGGGGGACACCCACACAGGTTTCCACCTGGCCAGTAACCACCTGACCAGTTTAACGCATACAACAGGTTTGCCTTTCCTCCTCCACTTCCTTCTGAAATTGTTCTCAACTCCTTTTGCCCTGCTTAAGCTGACTAGCTAGGAGTGTCACAGAACAACATATTTCAGTGGAAAATGCAGAGATTCTGGAGGTTTACTTATTTACCTTCAATTTGTATCCCGCCTTGCCAGTGCAAACTGGCTCAAGGTGGCTTACACAAGTTTTTGTCCTCTTCTGGGCATGGAACAGCGGTCACTGTGTGTGTGTGTGTTGGGAAGTATTTGTGAATTTCCTGCCTTGTGCAGGGGGTTGGACTAGATGACCCTGGAGGTCCCTTCCAACTCTGCGATTCCATTAGTCACAGCTGATTCATGGTGACCCCGCAGAGTTTTCCACGCAAAAGAGAAACAAGAGGTGGCTTGCCATTGCCTGCCCTTGCATAGCAGCCCTGGACTTCAAGGCTGTTTCCCATCCAAGTACTGAATAGAAGAAGAAGAACAGATTGGATGTATGCCCCGCCCTTCACTCGGAGTCTCAGAGTGGCTGACAAACTCCTTTCCCTTCCCCTCCCCACAACAGACACCCTGTGAGGTAGGTGGGGCTGAGAGAGCTCTTTCAAGATCCGCCCTTTCAAGGACAGCTCTTCCAAGAACTATGGCTTGCCCAAAGTCATCCAGCAGCTGCAAGTGGAGGAGTGGGGAATCAAACCCGGTTCTCCCAGATCAGAGTCTGCGCACTTAACCACTACACCATCCCTGCTTTAGCTTCTGAGATCTGATGAGACTGGGCTGGTTATAGCTATTAAAAAAAGGTAAAGGTTCCCTTGCTCGAAAGCCAGTCGAGTCCGACTCTAGGGTTGCGGTGCTCATCTCCGTTTCAAAGCCGAAGAGCCAGCGCATTCTGGTTATAGCTATACATTTTATATTAATAATTACATCCTGTTATATTTTTGTGTTTGGTGGGGTGGCACAGAGGGCGTAATGTGGTCACGTGGTTCTTTGGGTTGATGCCAACTGAAAATGTGGCTCTTTGTAAGCCATGGTGCAAGTGCTCCTGGCATAAGTCCCCTCAGAGTACTTTCCTAGTACACCCGAATAAGGCAGCGGAGTCTGAAACGTAGCGAAAGAGCACCACCTAATGACAGGAAGCGGCACTGTTTAAGGGCTGGGTGTTAATTGCCGTTACGACGGACCTCTTCTCACTTGTTTGGTTCTGTGAGGCAGATCTCCCCCCCCCCCCCCCCCCCCCCCACCCCCCACCCCCCCCCCTCTGAGCAGCCCCCTTGTAGCGTGTGTTAATCCCCAAATTATAATTTTTTGTGCGTGTCCCACCTTGTGATAGTAGAGCTAATTGGCTTCTGCCCAGGCCAGAGATTTAATGTAGAAAAGCAAGAGTCTCCTTGATATTCCCTTTTGACAGAAGCCAATTAACTCCACTGTCACAAGGTGGGACACGCAAAAAATTATAATTCTTGGATTAACACACGCTAAAAGGGGGCTGCTCAGTCAGTGGGGGGGGGGGCAGCAGTTTTGGTGGGGAAAAAACTGCCTCACACAGAACTGAACAAGCAAGGGGTCCGTCCCTTCCGACTCACAGTGACTCTATGACCTCCAAAATATGCAATTGTTAACAGCCTTGCTCGGGTCTTGCGGCCTGAGGACTGTGGCTTCCTTCAACGTTTCCGAGCATGATCATCTTTTCCAGAGACTCATGTCTTCTTATACTGTGACCAAAGCAGGATAGCCTCGGTTTAGTCACTTTAAGCTTAGATGTCTTATTTCAAAGCAAAACCGCTTCAGTCCAGAATAGAGCCAAGGGTTGGGCAAAATAAATAAATAAATAAAATTAAAAACAACACTTTGATATAAGACATAAACCCGGGTGAAATAAACATAAGACACAGCGTTCTCAGTGGAAGCTAGTTTAGTGTCGGACTCTAATCTGGGAGAACCGGGTTTGGTTCCCCACTCCTCCACTTGCACCTGCTGGATGACCTTGGGCAAGCCGTAGTTCTGTCAGAGCTGTCCTTGAAATAAGAGCAGTTTCTGTCAGAGCTCTCTCAGCCCCACTTCCCTCACAGGGTGTCTGTTGTGGGGAGGTGGAGGAGATTATAAACTGCTCTGAGACTCCCTTGGGTAGTGAAGGGTGGGGTATGAATCCAATCTCTTCTTCTTCTCCTCTTCTACATGTACGCGTGTGTAACATAACATAAGAGCCCTGCTGGATCAGACCAATGGTCCATCTAGTCCAGCATCCTGTAACCCCAATCCGTTCTTCAGCAACTAGCTACCTGGAGAGGTCCCAGCCCAAGACAGCATCTGCAAGCTAGGGAAATTTACATGGAAGAAACTCCATTTGGCACCAGTATTCTTCTAGCAGGATTGCAGTAAGGGCGTGTGGGCATGAAAAAATTGTTAGAAGCAGGTCAGGAATTCTGCTCAGAAAGCGACTGTGATACTTTTAAGTTCTTAAACATATATACTTCATCCCTCCCCCCCTTTTGTGGTTGTATTTATTTATTTACATTATTTATAGTCTACCCTTTCTGACTCGGCCTAGAGGTAGATGACACGGAATGAGACAGCACAATCAACAAGATGGGAGATTTAATAAACAATGAAATTGGATTTGGGTGGTAGATCAACCGGACCTCTATCGGAACACCAGGAGATTTGGATAAGGATACACACACACACGTTTCTTCATACACAGGACTTAACTCTTGTATCACACACAATACTGTCTATACTGTCTCTCTCTCAGACTTCAGAACTAACTAACTTAACAACTGTCACTCCTGAAGGACATACCCATTCATCCACTCAGAAACCCTTTCTAAAACCCCTCCCCCTCTCTGTCACTCACCAATCACACCACACTTGTCTCTTCAAGCACTCTAGTCCATCACACGCCATGCAACCAAACTTTTAAAGAGACACACACACATATAAAACAAGGAATCATTACACAGCCAACCCCCAAACTACGAATGATTTGGCCTAAGGACCCCACATACAAATAGAAGAGCATAGGGGATAGGATTGTGCCCTGTGAAACCCCACAGGATTGGTCCCACGCTGATGATAACTGGTATCCAAATGTCAATTTTTGAGGTCTGGTCTCCACCTCCCCCCCTTTCTTTTCTATCTGTTGTTGTTTGTTGCTGCACTAATGAAAAGAAATGCAATAGAAAAGCTCCAGATTCTGCTTTTTATTTTCCGACAGGAGAGGCACATTGGATTTATCACAGTTTTGTTCCCCAGCTCTTAAACCTCTAACACAATCTACGCCTGACATACAATCTGTTTAATAGCTCCCTCGAAGGTTTGCAGTTCCTGACCATACAAGGATCCTAAATCTGTGTGCATTTATGCAAAAGTACCAGTGAGACAATCCACCTGAGAGGAAACAACAGTGCTGATAAACACTATGGTTACGGGACCGCCGGGCTCCCACCTGGGCTGTAAGGCATGTTGAGTAGATACTTGGCAGGCTAGTATTTCTTCAAGAAAAATCCCTATTCCGAGATCAATTTTGTTTTACGCTCAGCAAGAGGTAGTAAAGTTATGGCAGCTGAATTTGAAATTATCTAGTTATTTTCATTTGAGAAAGGAAATAAAAATCAGACTTTGCGGTTGGTTGTTTACTGTCCCGGACGGTTTAGGATAGTCCTCCTCTGAATCAGAAAACGTTGGGCTGCTTTCCTCCCTCTTTATACTTCTGGCGAACATGTAACAGCTGACGGAGAGTTCGGCGTTGAGACACTGAAGACTCCAGGAAGGCCGCTTTTAGGCTGTATTCTGAATGACGACGGCTATCCCTTGGCCACCTCCGATGCAAGCAGAACCAATGGCGTATTTACCTCCACGGCGCCTGTAGAGAGGGGACAGATCGAGACGGGTAGCCGTGTTAGTCTGTCTGTAGCAGCAGAAAAGAGCAAGCCTCCAGTAGCACCTTAGAGCAGAGGTGTCAAACCCATTTGTTAGAAGGGCTGGATCTGACACAAATGTCACTTTAAAAAAATTATAATTTTTATTTAGGAATTCAATAACAATACAACGTAAGTACAATAGACATCTGCAGATGGAAGTACAAAAATAGGTTAGATTGGATTTATACCCCGCCCTTCACTACCCAAGGGAATCTCAGAGTGGCTTACAATCTCCTTTCCCTTCCCCTCCCCACAACAGACACCCCGTGAAGTAGGTGGGGCTGAGAGAGCTCTTTTGAGAACTGCTCCTGAGAGGACAGCTCTGAGAGAACCGTGACTGGCCCAAGGTCACCCAGCTGGCTGCATGTGGAGGAGAGGGGAATCAACCCTGGTTCTCCCAGAGTAGAGTCTGCTGCTCTCAATCACTACATCAAACTGGCTCTCATTAAAGAAGAAGAGAAGAGATTGGATTTATACCCTGCCCTTCACTACCCAAAGGTGTCTCAGAGCGGCTTACAAACTTCTTTCCCTTCCCCTCCCCACAACAGACACCCTGTCAGGTAGGTGGGGCCGAGAGAGCTCTGAGAGAAACTGCTCTTTTTCAAGAACAGCTGTGCCAGAACTATGGCTTGCCCAAGGTCATTCAGCAGCTGTAAGTGGAGGAGTGGGGGATCAAACCCGGTGCTCCCAGATTAGAGTCCGCGCACTTAACCACAACACCAAACTGGCTTAAATAGAGCTTCTGTCTGAAATGTTGAGAAGTTACTATTCAGTATGTGGTTGGCTCCGCCTCCTGTGGCCGCCATTTTGTGCCTGCACCCATCACTTTAGGCCAGAATTCCAGAGGACCCCTCTTCTAGGCTAAGCTGAAAAAGGGAAACTGAGCCGTGCTGGGAGCTCCTGACCTACCAGGTGTTTCATGAATGATTTTGGACATTTGATGTTTTAGGGAATGAAAAAAGCTGGTTAAGTCACAGCACAGGTGGTCCTCACTTAAGAACATAAGAGATGCCAATGTTGGATCAGGCCAAAGGCCCATCCAGTCAAACACTCTGTATCACACAGTGGCCAGAAATACCAGTGCCATCAGGAGGTCCACCAGTGGGGCTACTTGGCAGCAGTGACCCCAAAACCAATGCTTTGCACGCCTGAACATATCTAATTTTACCTCCTGGCATCAGTGCAAACACAAAGCAACCCAAAGCAGTGAGTTCCATTCATGTGTACAGAGGACGAGAAACCGACCAACATACTTGAGTGTGTGAACCAGCCCCGGGAGTAGAAATATACGCTTGCTGAAATTTGTTCAGAAAACAAAACCTCACGAGAAGTTGGCTGTCAGTACAGGATCCTACCAAGACCTCCCCCTCGTTGCTCACCTTAGTTCATGAACAAGATGAGCAGTGATCCTCGAACCTGAGGCCCCCAGCGGGTGACCCAGGGCGATGGCTCCTCCATCGACATTTGTCTTCTCAGGGTCCAGACCCAGAACCTTCTCGACCGCTAAGTATTGCGGAGCAAAAGCTTCGTTGACCTTGAAAAAACACCAGAGAAGAACGTCAAAACTGTCAAGTTGGGCTGCTACCTTATCTAAGGTCCTTTCCACATTTGCCTGCCACTCCAGATTTTCTCAGTGTCCGAGTCAAGGCAATTTAAGTCTACGGCAAAACGGCATCCAAATAACCCGGGGAAACAGGAGGCTGAAACTGGACTGACCACTGAAGGGAGGTCATGTGATTCAGAATGGGCAGGAAAAAAACACCAGAATAAAAAGAAGGTTGAACTCGATTTTAGTGCAGGGGGGGGGAGGGACTGGATTAAAAAGAAGGTTGAATTCGATTTTAGTGCTGAATTGCTTGGAGGACACCGAGGAGAACATGGATTAAAAGGAGATTGCAGAAAGGGCCTGTGACGTCCTTCCTTATTGGGAAGACCATTTCTCCCTTTAAACGACACTCTGTGTACATGAACTTGGTAGATTTCTGCTGCCACCAGGAATTAAAAATTCAAAATCTCTCTCTTTTGGTAGAATGACCCAGGGTCTGGGCACTTCAGAGGACTATGTGGCTCTGAGGAAGGACTATTATGATTGCTGGGATAAGTTTCAATAAAAAATGATTGATTTAATAAAGAGCAAAATAGATTTCTGGTTATTTTGAACTGCTGCTGATGAAAGGAACTTGTAAATATAACTGGCAAAGCTTGGCGTCACACACAGTCTCTCAAACACCAAAACTCCACTCTGACAGGTTTAGACACTCAGTCTAATCTCTCTCTCTCATATACCTACATAAGCCACCGAGGCTAAACTGTTTGTCTTATTCACACAGAATAGACTCAAACTCTCAGTCACACAGACTAAACTGTTTGTCTTATTCACACAGAATAGACTCAAACTCCAATAGACTCAGACTATGCTCTCTCTCCAAACTTCAAACACAGAATCACCTCATAGACAACCTTCCTCCCACACTCTCAGTCAGCAGCCAATCACATCACACTTATCTCCCTCTATTACTCTTCTCATTTAGTCAAACTAAACATTTAAAGAAACAAACACACCAAAATATGAAATCATTACAGGGGCTTACCCTAAGAACATAAGAACTCTAAGAACATAAGAAGAGCCCTGCTGGATGAGACCAGGTGCCACCAGGAGGTCCACCAGTGGGGCCAAAACTCCAGATGTCCTCCCACTGTGGCGCCCCAAGCACCAAGAATACAGAACATATTTTATATATTGCAATGTTTCTATTCTGCAGTCCACCTTGAGTCACAGACAGAAAGGTGGGCTAATAAACTAGAGTGAGTAAATAATCCGTACTGTCCTTGTGTGCCGAAGGCTGTGCTTAAGAATTCAGCCATCCCTGTCTTTGCTCTTGCACATAATGGAGCTAAATCCATACCAAGCTACCGCTGGCTGGCTTTGCTTTTTGCTCAGCTCTTCCTACCTCAACCAAGTCCATGTCCTTCAGAGAAAGGCCGGCTTTCTTCAGTGCTTCAGTAATGGCAGGTACTGGACCTACGTTGGCAAAAGAAAACAAAACGGAGAGTCAACAGAGGGGCTCGCTCACAATCCTTCACAGGCATGAAACGATGAGGCTACCTGTGGTTCCTTGGTCCATACATTCTGCTTTGAGCACCGAACCCTTTCCGGTCCCAAAACTACATAGAGCAAATGCAGGTGAAAATACAAAGCTCCCTTCTACTGGGTCAGACCACTAGGCAGCCGAGGTTAGTGTTGCCTACTCTGACTGGCAGCAGCAATCCAGGGTTCGAGGTCATGGTCTTTCACATCACCTATTATCTGGTCCTTTAAAAAAAACTGGTGTTGTTTGGGATTGAACCTGGGACCTTCTGCATGTGTGTCTACTCTGACCGGCAGCATCAAACCAGCATCACATCACATATTATCTGGTCCTTTTTAAAAACTTGTGTTGCTGGGGATTGAACCTGGGACCTTCTGCATGTTTGTCTACTCTGACAGGCAGCATCAATCCAGGATTCGAGGTCATGATCTTTCACATCCACTATCATCTGGTCCTTTTTAAGAGAGCCAGTTTGGTGTCGTGGTTAAGTGCGCGGACTCTAATCTGGGAGAGCCGGGTTTGATTCCCCACTCCTCCACTTGCACCTGGCTGGATGACCTCGGGCAAGCCGTAGCTCTGATAAGAGCTGTCCTTGAAAAAGAGCAGTTTCTGTCAGAGCTCTCTCAGCCCCACCTACCTCACAGGGTGTCTGTTGTGGGGAGGGGAAGGGAAAGGAGAATGTAAGCCGCTCTGAGACACCTTTGGGTACTGAAGGGCGGGGTATAAATCCAATCCCTTCTTCTCTTCTTCTTCTTAAAAAAACTGGTGTTGCTGGGGATTGAACCTGGGACCTTCTGCATGCAAAGCAGATGCCCTACCACTGAGCCACAGCTCTGCCCCTTTACATATCTCTGGCAAATGGCACCTCTATGATTCAGAAAGGCAGCTCCCCATAACAGAGGGAGGGATTCCGTGCCTGTGAATCAGGATTGGTGGGGACTACCATGCTTGCTTTTCTCAACCAACCAGAAGATCGCGAAGGATCCCCCATCACCATAACTTACCAATGCCCATGATGTTGGGGTCGCAGCCAGACACATGATAAGCTACTATTCTGGCCAGGGGGGTGAGGCTATGCTTTTTGACGGCCTCTTCGCTCGCAATTATCACTGCTCCGGCACCATCGCAGACTCCCTAGGAACAGAAAAACATATACAAATACAATCCTGGGCTGGAGAATGTCTGCTCCTGTGACTAATCCAAGATGGCAACTCCTGTTTGAGCCGATCCCCTCTGGC